TGAGCCGGCAGCGCAACCGGATATGCAAATTCATTGGGGAAAAAAAGGAACCACGGATATGTGCGATTGCTCGACTCTACTTGAAACTCGACTACGATTTATGAATTATGATCGCCACCGGCATATCCTTCTTTTGTCCCGATTGTCAAACTTTCAATACCTGTTTCTCTGTTAGAAAATTATTCGACCGAATACCGTGAATCACGAATCCGCCTATGTTTAAAATAAAATTATTTTTTCATTTGCGTTTCCGAGTATTTTTATTTTCGAGAGTTGTTCTACTCTAATTTGTAGTTTTTCGTTAATAAGATTTCAATATTGACTTAGTAAATATATATAATTTAGCTTTCAAAATTTAGATTTGATGGAAAGTTATTTGCAATCGTCGAAGTTTTATATAAAAAAAAACAAAGATTCAAAAAAGGGAATTTGATTCTATACAAAATAAAATGTAATAAACTTTTTCATTTGTAGTTATAAAATAATCACAGCGGAAAAACATTTAAAGTTCAAGAGATACATCTCGCTATTAAATTTTTGAATATGTATATTCATTGTCTCAATCGATTTATGTATTGATAGTGATCGGAATTTTCTCTACTGTGTTTTTTTATATTTTATTGTTGCTGTATAAATAATTCAGGATAGCACATCCCGTCGCGCACAATTTCCGTTATATTTACTCGTATCTTCACGGCCGAACAGTGTCAACACGGCAACTACTTCAAACTCAGATACGAATCCACACTTGTACTAGACTCAAGCACATACACTTACATCGTGCCAACGTATCTTGGATTTGCGATATACAGTCGTGGTTAAAAATAAGAAACATGTTTGATAAGTTGTGATAAATTGACTTACAACAGTTAACGTATCAAAAATATAATAATTTTTTCAAATTTATTAATAGCCAAAAACTTGATATTAAAAACCATATTTTTGAAATATATATCTCAGTATAAAATAATTTTCTTTCTCAACAGTTTTGCTCCAATTGTTAATCATGAAATTAATTAAGAATTCAAGAATTAAATTATTGTTTATAACACTTTAAAATAATTTAACGTTCAACACAATTTATTAATGTTGTTGACCACGCCAGTATATCTAAATAACTATGGGCAGTAATATCGTGCAGTATTGAAGGTAGCATAAATTTAATGGGAATTATGTCACCTTATCAGCACCGACAGTTTAAAGCATAGGAGTCATCCCGTTGGTGATTGAAAGCTCAATAATTTCCATTAAACGAGCGAGACAACGTCGTCGAAATTATCGCCGCGATAAGTTTTTCGCTGTCTGGTGCAAGCTCATGGAAAACGAGTCAATAGTCGCGCGAGCGCGCGTCACAAACGACCGGTGAGGATATTAAGATTCGAGGCTACGGGGGTTTTTAGTGGGTGCTCTCGCTCGTTTCGTTAAGAAAAGGCGACGTCGGCGTCGCGGTGGCGAGTATAAAAGACGAGCTGAATCGACAAACGGGGGCGGCGCGACGCGTATATTGCGCAAAGGGCGGTGAAAGTGAGCGAAAGGTGCGGGCGTGTACTCTCGCTAAGTCCCTAACGCTCCACGTTTACGCTCCTTTTACTGCGGAGTAATGGGTATCGGTAGTAGGCCAACGGCGCGGCGGATGAAAATCCCGCCGAGAGCGATATAGAGCCCCGGTTGCAGTTTTATCGCGTTTTCTCGCGCGGATGTCGGGCGACGGGGCGATTCCGCCCGTGAAATCTTCTGTAATCGTAACGACGTAAATCGTAAACGCGGATGGATCATTCACTCCACGTGAGCGCCGTTTTCAGGAAGGTGTGCACTGTGCTTCCCGGCGGAACTATCCGCCGGTCGCTCGTAAACGATTCCGTCCTCGTTGCAACCTGCGGGCTCTTCTAGATTCGGGACGAAGGCTGCGACCCTATTTCGCCGGGTCGATCTTTGATTAGCGACGACGAATGCATTTCGATATCGGATTGAATTTATCAACACGGCCGATTTCTCAGCGACGTCGGATATCGACGTAGATTTATTTAACAGCTCCCCGCCGGAAGAAGGAAAACTAAATCTCATTTCTGGCGGTGAGAAATTTTTAGGTGTATTCGATCGTCGTAACTTCACGTTACACCTTCCTCGACCGTGTTTCTTTTACATCATGCGTGGTCGTAAAACGTTTTGCACTATGTCTTTATCGCTATCCGTGTTTTGTTTCCTTAAACATATGGAATCTCGTAAAAATCGCGCAAGTAAAACGAATACAAACTAATATTCCGAGATATCCCCATAAATATCGCTCGCGCAAACACGTCCATATGATGGAACTCCCATCGGGCACGTTAATAAAACCGGAGCGTTAATTGCTGAATTCCTCATTGATTAATAGCGCCGACGGTTTCGAGGAGATGCAGGACCTAAGTGAGCCGACAATTTCAAGGACGAGAGAAATAGCTGGTCTTTACCTCGCGGATCTTCACTCCGATGGAGAAATAATCCTGAATCACAATCGATCGCGTCGTTCTTACTTTATTATCTGCGTCTTCTAACGTCAAGCGGAGAGAAGTGGGGACGATGGGGAATGTTTTAGCGCGATACGCCGCTATCGGGATATCTCACTTGCGCGCGGAGTTTTTAATTAATACCCAAACACCGTTGGATATATTTTGCATAAAAATGGTTTCGCGAAGTCTCGTCTGTTATGCGGATAAATAGGCGCTGACAGGCGCGATCGATATCGGCAAAACAAGCGATTTCAATTACATTTTGTTACCTCTTGTAATGAGGCGCAGTTTAATCATCGTTAAATTACGCGGACGAGGGATACAGCGCGTATACCTGTGTCTGTGCAAATTGCTGTTACCGACATTGTGATAAATGTGTACGCCGCCCGCTTTGATACGATGGCACTCTTGCTATTAACGATCTTTATGGTGTCAATCAAATAACTTGGTAACTCGGCCTTACCAGCCCCTCCCTTTTCCCCCCTCCTCATTGATTAATGGTTTGCGGCGAGGGATCTTCAGGAAGTTTTGCGGCTTTGTGCGCGGAGAGGAAATATGGTGTGTATAACACGGCGCCACCGGCATCACCGTATAATCCCCTATTTATAAACCGCTCGGTAATTTAAAAATCTTTAGAAAAATATCGCGGCTCTTTATCAGTCTTAAGTAAATCTCTCTCTCTCTCTCGGAGGATGGCACAAAGGCGCGCCGGGAAGTCTACAACTTCCTAACACTCTCACATGACGCTTTTTCCTCAGGACTTTACTCGTCGATAATTGCGCGAGGCGCAATGTGCTTGTCCGCGTAATGCGGTTAACTACAATTAGAAAATTGCAATGATAATTCAGAATAATTTTACTGATGCTTGATTCGAATGCTCGATGTAATCTTGTCATTTTGATGTTATTGATCGCTCTATTACATATCGCAAAGGTCGCTACACATCACAATAAAAGATACACAGTGAGTCATCGTCGTCCCCTTTCTGAAAGGGGGAACGAATTTGCTTTTGCAACTGCGTTTACGTGCGACGGAGGGGAGTAAGACGCGCATTAAATCGGAGTGACGGGCGGAATCGCGTGGAGTGATTCGATCGGGAAGACGGATGCGATACCATTTTCTGTAACTGGATAACGGCCGTGCTTTTTCAGCTGGAACAATCATAGCCCCTATGGCTTCTTGGTGAGCGGCTGATACGACTGCGACGAGCACATAACTGTCGCTGGGCGGCGTGATTCACGTGAAAGATTGCACATGGCTCGATACATTCATGGGGCCGCGGGGCTATAAATGTTATTGTCGCTGTTAGCCTTATTACACTCGTCCCTAGAAATGCTCCTTCCAAGTGGCGCGCTTTGTCTGCGCGTATCTCTCGCGAAACTACACGCGTCATGAGAACTGCAGTAAAGGAAAAATTCGATATCGAGCTATTTTACGAGACGTTTGCCAATGCTGAATTTATAATGGCGATTATTACGCGCATGACGTATGTACAAGTTGTCCAATTGCTCGTCACAATCCAATTCCCCGATTTCGTTGGTTCGATAATTCCGCATTTGATAAAAACAGCGGCATTGTTGAAAAAATAGAAAAAAAAGTGTGATTTCGCGTCTCGTTAAGCTTGAAAACCAAACTGCACGATTCGGTCGATCGAGTTCGACTTACCGCTCCGTCACTTGCGTATATAAAGAGTATTTATGCCTGGCCGCGTTGTCCCATTTAGCTTGATCAACAAACTTCGTTCGGTTCAATAGCAATTGCGAGACTCGAAAGCACGCCCGACGACTGCCAGTCGCAATAGATATACCGAACTAATGTACGTTCCAGTTTCATAGTTTTCCACCGTCGGAGAGATGGTTGATCGTATTACTATCTCGATGCTGCATTGATTCCGTGTCGTGACAAAGCGTCGACATATGACACAGAAAGTATTCCCGCTGCTGCGACAATCTTTCTGTTTACCATCGCTTCTCGTTTTTCTTTGGAGACTTTCGATTCCCGCGGCGATACGCGTGTGACTCAAACTTGCGTGCTCGTTACAAGTTCGATGATTGCTATTTATTCACTTGCAATCACTGAGTATTTCAAAAACTTTCTAGAAAGATACCTAGAGGAGAAAAGAAATATCTACAGAGAAATTTACAATTTATCTGGTATCTGCGGTTTCCAAATACACGTATCACATCGTATAATTCAAGTGATAAAGCTGCAATTTAAAAAGCGAGAAGCAATCAGTGTACGAAATATGAAAATAATTATTTTGATGTTTGGTACGATATTCATATCAAAAGTTAATAAATCCAGCTTTTGATAAAGTTCAAAAGTATAATTTCATTGTTATAAATATGCGATTGTGAGAGAAATACTGAAGAAATATCAAAGAGAAAGTAGAACTATTTTTCTTCGTAAATAGCAATAGTATTATATTCCTAACAATTCCAAAGTGATGCTTAAAAATGATAAAATCAGAGCGAAGAACATTGTAGCAAAGTCGATGGCTTATGTACTTACGGTTATTATACGGTGGTGATTCGCCGGTGATCGATGCAATACGCGGCACATCCTCGCTGATATCGATGTCCGCTGATTTCCGATAAACGTCTGCAATGGAGGCCGTGCAGCGCAAATGTAAATGCCCATAGCGGAACATTTCAGTTGTCACTCGAAATTCTATTAGTGAATTTGTAGATTCCGTGTCCTCTTCATGAGGATATTTGTAACTCCGTATTTTGTACTTAATTGTGTTATCCTCAATCTAAAAAAAAGAATCATAAAAAAGATATATTAATACTTAACGACATATATTTTACTGGAATATTTTTTGGCACCGCGTAAACCAATAACAATATTAACTTTTTAATTTTTCATTTATTTTAATTTATATTTTAAATTGTTGCACAAAAATTCCTGGTGCGTCGGGAATGAAAAATTTAATATAAATTTTGACGCGAACAACACCTTTATCTCGAATGTAGTATGATAAATCCTCTCGCAATAGGTATACAATTCGAAGGATGGTTTGTCGTCATATATAATTTAACCGAGTTAGAAGCATCTAAAGCTTAAATAATTAATGTCTTGCATTTAGTACTTATGAGAAGATCTTCATCATTTATTCCATAGAACCGTCTGAGTGTATCAAAATACCTTTCACACATATTATCATACTCCCCAAAGGGAATTACTGTTGCAACTTGCTGAAGATATCACGCGGTATCGCATTGTTTTTAATGCAGATGAAGCCTTTGTCTTTTGTCCTGCTCATCCTTGCGCACCTTTTGTCTCTACAGACTAAAATAAAAAAAAAAGAAAAAAGAAGGAAAGCACGGAATGAAATTGGTAGAGTCAGGAGTCGCTCAATGTTATTACTTCAAGGAACAAACGTGGACGGGTTTAGCTACAGCAACGTGATTCTATGATACGTGCACTATAAAATTTCATGGACTATAAAGTTAGCGTTGACACATGGCTCCTCTCGGGCTGTATCTTTCGACTTTTTATCTACACCTTTGCAGACATTGCACGCAAGAGACCGTGCGATAGTTTTTGAAGAAAAATTTTTCAAAATTTAATAATTTATATTAAAACTGTTTGTGTTTGTTACGCTTGGATATCGCAATAATTATTTCAAATTCTAATCGTTCAAATATTTGGACAAAAAGAATCTCCAAGTCAGATTTAAAATTTGGATAATTCAAAATTTGCGTGATATTCGCAGAAAAAGCGATTAATTATCTTTCGCAGAAAGCTGAAAGAAAATGAAAAACTTTCAGATATCGCACGACTTGATATACACAGTAACGGGAAATGCTATCATCATTTACAAACTAATATACGTCAATGTCAATGGTGTCGTAGGAAAAATATAAATGTGTCGTATGATTTGTAATAAATACACACGAGGGGGACCTTACTTTATGTACAAGCAGGACTACTTTCAGGAAGAATATATGGCCAAGAAGAAACGAATTTGTCTTCGATCGTCCGCTACGTTACGAGAACAAGAAAACCTCGAGAACTCCGAAGGCGACGTTATCATTTGTAGAACAAACAAGGACATACATCATGTCCACGGGTGCACAGTGTCACGTGCGGATACAGGCTACATCCATAAAGCATAAAGCATAAAGCTGATGCCATCACGGATGCCACCTTCCCTCGCACCTTCTTTTTCCCCTCTTCTATATGTCATGAGATTGTCGGTAGAGCTCTCGCATACGTGTATCCTCCGCGAATCTAAAGTGCATTGCGTACAATCTTCATATCTCCGAAATGGGTTTTGATAATGTTACTTGTCTGGATGCTTCCTCGAAGCGAAGAGACTGATTGACACGACGTTGGCGTTATAGAGTTTCGGCGCAGCTTGCCTTCACCCTATTGTCTTTGCGAATGTAATATTCTCCGCTCGCTGTGCACACATTCACCTCGTAGCACACACATTCCCGCAACATATTGTGGATCTTGTATTTCGCAGTAAAGCTACTATATTTGTCTATATCTGAAAGCGTATATGAATAGAATTAATCTAATCGTGTGTAGTGAATAAATTCACACGATTACACACAATCTCAAAAACGCATGAGATTCTCATTTTATACAGTTTAAGTGGTCATGCAGTTTATGTATAGTTTATAAAATGTTATGATTGTAGAATATTTGTACAGTTATAGAGAGAATTAGGAACAGAAATAATTTATTAATTAAAACTTACAAATTGTTAAAATTTAACGTTTATTTTATCGTACAAAATATTACAAATTATTTCCTCTATATTTCCTTCACTTCTCGTCAGCAATTGCAATATTCAGTTGTAATATAACTTATCACGTAACAGTTCCGCGAACATTTTCAACTAGCCATACGAGAGAACTTTCGAAATGGAAATCAGGCGTGCAGAAAACGCTGTAAAAGTCCGAAAATTACGTTCGGACT